AGTCCTTATTTATTCTTATATGGCCTGATGCTGAGAGGTCACGGAACGAACGGCATCCCAGCAAGAGCCACCAGCAAAGGCGTATTGATCGCCTATTATCTGCCAGGGCATCTTCTACCTACTTTTCATACATGCTCTTTTATACTCCTCCAAAACACTCTCTGAGGTAGTAACTGTCACCACGTTTTGAAAGTTGGGAAGGCTGAGACTCAGAGAGATGGTGTACTTTGCCTCAAGTGACACAAGTAGTGAGTGGGGGAACACAGATCCCCTTCAGCCGCTTTGACTCTTCAGCCCAGGATCGTTGCTATATGCCAGCCTGACCGCACGTGGGGACCAGGGTAAATGGCGTGATTAGATCACCCTGTTTACTGCCTTCAATAGCCTTCTGAGAGAACAACTCTAGAAATAAAATCTCAGGCAATCCTCATGTGAAAGTACAAATGATCTCATGAGGTCCCTTTGCCTGTCTGTATTGATCCCTGACACCACCTGGGGAGACCCCACATCACCCTCACCTCTCTCAGCATTATCTTGTTGTTATGGTTGTTACCCAGGGACTGACGCATGGTCTACCTTCTTCTTTCATGACGCTTTGCTGCTTCAAACAGTACTACCCGGATTTCCTTAAGAAAGGTCAAATCCGGACACCCATCCCCCACTTTTCACACCCCATATTATATGCTTAGAGTGTGATACAGCACCCAAGAATGCACGCCAAGTCTTACAAAACCATGTTCAAGTTTAACAGCCGTAAAAATCCTGGATTTGAAATCCATGCGATTGTTTGCCCTTTCCCCTAGGATAAAGTACGAATTAATTTCCTGGCTCAGGAGAGTCTCCAGACCTGTGTTTCTCTTACTTTCCCACCCTCCCCACCTCCACCCAAGCTCCAGCTACAGAACTTCTTTTGATTCCTTATTAACGTCATATATGCTGGCTCTCTTTAAGCCTTTGCATATGCTGTTTCTCTGCTCAGAAAAACCTTCGTCCGTATGCCCTAAATCTCATCGAGGTGGTCTTGCCTTATCCTCCGAACTCTCTGCTCCCATAACAACCTATACTTTTTCTTCTTCTTATACTCATCTTCCGCTTTTGTACATGTTTATTAGACTTGCCATTTTCCATAACTGATAATAATCTCTGTAGAGCACGACCACAAGTGTATCTTTAGTGCCTTGCACGCGTCTGACACTAAGCACGCAATTAATGTTTGTTGATTTCAGAAATAAATGAGAGTTAGGAATCGTCAGCATTTACATTACCCATGAGAATTTTGAGAAATCAGATGGTGAATAAGGACTGCTTTTGATGGAAAATAATTTTCCAGTAAAGAGATTTCTACTTCTATTCTTAAAAATAGATACAAGAAAAGGTGCAATTTGAAATTTACCAGAAGGGCTCCATGGTCTCAAATAGGTCCCATACAGCCTTACCCATTTTGCTAACACCTTATTAGGGGCTATTTTATTAGATTCTTTCTAATCATGGCCTCTGGCTGCAAACAGGGGCCTATTGATCAAGATTGCCAGGCTGGGGACCGAAATATTGAAAGAGAGACAGGAGGTTTCCTAGGGACATTCCCTCCACCCTAGCGTTTCACCTGATTACCAGGCAGAGCTGGAGGCAGAAGTTTGGGATCAATATCTTCTCTCTGGTGAAGGAGAAGAATTATTATTTTCCTCCAGGCATGTAACTATGAAAAAATGACAAGATAACCCTTAAGATGTTATTACTTATTCATTAAAACTATCTTATATATATATATTTTTTTTTTAATTTATTTTTTCCCCCAAAGCCCCAGTAGATAGTTGTATATCATAGCTGCACATCCTTCTAGTTGCTGTATGTGGGACGCGGCCTCAGCATGGCCGGAGAAGCAGTGCTTCGGTGTGCGCCCGGGATCCAA